AGGTAAAACACGAAAAGCAAACAAGTCCACAGGCCACTGAGTCCTGTGGCAAACTCCAACCGGAAAGGGAGAAGGGTCAAGGATTAGAGCTGGATAAGCAGTCTGAGAAAGGCAAAGAGGCCACAAAGATAAACCCAGGTGCAAAATCAGAGCCAGGCGGGAGGAGACAATATGCAAGAACAGTAATGGTATACACAATGTCCTGAAGGATATGTGTATTCAATCAAAGAAAGGTTTTCCTATGAATTAATTAGAGAACAGTCCATTTCTCTGGGCATTATGTGTCTTTCTTATGAGGAAAATGAGGGAGTTTATCTCCTGCATTCCTTTTAGGCCATAAAACCAGTGATATCAGCATTGGTTACCATGGAACCAGAGGCCTGTTCTGCCTTTCTGAGGTGTTAGGTGCATTTCGGGGGAAGGGTCCATAGACCCTCGTAATTGGCCATTTGGTTAGGTGATGGGGAGTTCGATATTATTTGTTAAATATAACAAAAAGTTGTGTGTCTGATTGGTCCAAATGCTACATCAGTTATGAGAGATCAGTCTGAAACAGCACCTAGAACTAAAGGGCTTGACAGAAGTGGAAGAGCTGAGGGGTGCAGCGAGTCCAGACACCGAGAAGAGCAGTCCAAGTACCCTGAACACCGGCTGCCAGACAGACCTCTGACAGGTGGGAAAAGACTGGAGCAAACTGGCCTCTGGAGTACTGCGGAACTCTTCCCTTCCGCTGAGGTGGTTAGACAGGCCCCATATTTTACCCTTGCTTGGAAGGGGCCAGCAGTGCCATTATAGCCCCTAAACTGTCGACTGAAGACCTCATCAAATTCCCTATGGACCTCCCGAAATTTATCTCTAATGTCCGCCGTCATAATGCCATTGGGGACTAATGAGATAAGGTCAGAGAATAGTGTTGTACTGTGCATACTGGGATTGCGAGCGACAGCTTGAGGAACTTCCAACTGGGCTTGTTCAGTTTGGGACCCCGGTATTTAGTTACGACATACATGATCATGTTTTCCAATGCCCCGTCAGTCAGAATGGGAATTTAGATTTTTCCGGATTCCCCTACAAACAACGATAGAGCAAACCAGTGTGTACAGTCCTCGTGCGGCTCAACAATGAGCTCCTCGTTAACCTTCGCAAGTTCTGCTGGAAGTTCAAGTTCATCAAAGTCCCCAGGCCACACAGTATGTGATGAGGTAGCACGAAGCACATGATCTCGCCGAATAGCATGTCTGTCTCCATACATCTAATTAGCGCCATACTCATATGTATCTGATGCCACACAGACCTGATGCCTAGCGGGGCGGATAGAAATGTTATTACATTCCATAAAGGTGATGCCAGAAATAATGTCCGAATCCAATTTTTCTACCATGCGTCCATCAGAAAAGAACATGTGCCTGTCTAATTTGAAAATGTGTGCATGTTTCTCCAACCACCTTCGATAGCGAGAAGCCATCTGTCATGTTTCCAGTTGCACCACTGTCGATGGTCAGCCTAACGGGGACATGACCATGGAAAGCTTTGAGGCAGGGTGACTGCATGATGTGAACGCACTGTACCGCCTTAGGATTGCAGGATATATCCTCGCTGTCATCCTCGGACTCGCCGTCGGAGTGACAAGGAGAGCCAGCAACTTGCCGCACCCTGGCAATGAAAGCTTTGTCTGGAGGAGGCAGGAAAGGGCACTTACTGAGGAAGTGATTGTCCGGTCTGCAAGCCTCCTTACAAAGTGGGAAGGACTTCCTAGATCGACACAGTGATGCATGTTTCTGTCTTGGCGGGTTAGACACGGCCGAGCGCATAGCTCTGGCATCTTCTGATGACTGTAGCTCATCTAGTTATGAACACAGGGCCTGAGATATCTCTGGTTTGATGGACGCCAGAGACCGTGACCGTGCTATACCTCTGCTTTAAAAGCTTTGGCAAATCGCTGTGTATAAGACAAAGCCAAGTTAGGACAATTAAGTTTTCGATCGTGGGGGAGAGCTCCTCATCCTCTAGAATGGCTTCACCTCCTTGAGTAATGCCAGAGTCCTGCGTAGTAAATTGTCCTCAACAAAAGCTATTAATCTCTTGTACAAATCCTCTGGACCTTCATTAGACTCAAGTTTAATAGCAGCAAAGTCAATGAAATGTGCACCAGTTGATTGGAATCCATAATGCAGTCTGATAGTCTGCCATATGCGATCAATGCATGTGGAGTTTTATTGGTCATTGGTAAAACCTCTGAATGGTGAAGACCTCATCTTCTTTTCCCAGCGTGCGCCATCAACTAGAAAGGGAGCGAACTCAGTGTCCAAAGATAACTTGTAAGCAAGGTTCTGACGCCAGTTCTCAAATGATTTGACCGTCTCAACTTTCATTAGACACCACTGCTTAGGTGCTCTGTGTGTATTTGCTATGGCTAATGTCTCAAGTGTCATCAGCAGTGATAATCCACAACTCAGCTCGCTTGCGTGTGATTATAGCTTGAATGGATCTCACGTGAGCTCACCGGAACGTTTGGGGAGTGAATACGATAACGCTGCCACCACACCAGTGTGTAGGTGAGGTACATTGAATCACTGACACAAGAGAATAGTTTAGTCAAGCTTTTAGTGGTGACGGCCAACATAACAATAACGAGAAGCACAAGAGCATGCTCTGCCTAGGTCATCGGGGTCACAAACAACATCAGGAGTCACGTCACAATCCACGTCACACTTCACATACTGGCGCTCTGTAAATATGTGGAGAAAAAGCTTATCTTGGCTTTGAAATGCATTTACAGCACTGAGTGTGTCACTGGTTGTCTTACCTTTGCATTGAATTTCACAGTTCAAATGATTCAGTTTCCCAGTGGTGTGAGTTAGGAAGGCAAGGTCCAGTAGCCAGTCAGTGTACTGAGGCATGAAGGTGTCTGCCCCTCTGGATTCCATGAACACTTTGATTTCACACAAATGTTATAAACAATGTTGCAAAATCCTTCCTCTGCTCAGCCAGCGAATTTTAGTGTGGAGCAAAAAGTCACCATATTCAGCTGAGAGACGCTGTTAGTGGTTTAATCAGTCCCTCCAGGATTTTGCGATTCTGCGATCACTGAATTTATCACAACATCAAGCAAACTCCACAATTTTCGCAAGAGCTCGCAAATTTTTGGAATTGCTGCAGATTTTCCACAGATTTTGGGCTTAGACGCCTCCCGTGACATCACTGCAATGCGCATTCAGTCAAAAAAAGGTTCCAAAAATGGAATGAACAGCCTTGCTTTCTCATCATGACCGATTTACAAGAGCTACATTGGACAAACGAACTGAAAGCAGAACGAATCCGCGCTACTCGTTTGGGCTATGCAGTGCAGATTGTTTATTTGCTCGGGCCGGAGCCTCAACAATAAACACAAATCCCCACCATTCACCATGGATTTAACATAGTAAAACTACAGAAACAACTTGTGGCAGAAATGGTCTAATGTTTTCGGGTGTTTTTAAATGCTTCACACAACTTTTCCCAGCACTTCAAAGCTTTAAGTATTACTGAATTTGAAAGTTATTTTTAATGTGATGACATTATTTGTTCATCCTTCATAGGTTGCCCCAATTATAAAACTAAAAGTTTCATAATGTGTTAAAGACTTATTTAAAAATAAAAAAGACATTAAATTACCACTAGTAGATGGCTGCAGAGAAGTACTTATAGGTTTATTAGCCATTTCCACTCCCTAATATATATATTTTTTGTATTTATTAAATTATATTTAGACATTATGAATGACAGTAATAAAAGTTAATTTGATCTGCATCTCAACTACACAGACAGCACAAGTACATCTGTCAGCTGTCTGCTAAAGATCTGGAAAACATCTGCTGTGTAATCTGATAAACGTCTCGAAAGCAGTTTTACGTGCTTTCTAATAAATGTCATGTCAATAAATGTCAAATTGACATCTGACTGGAAATGTCTTAGAGATGTATTGCAGATGAGCAAACACTAAAAAAAATCATCTTGCATATGCAAATGCAGACATCAAACAGACATCTCCAAGATGTACGTGTGCGATTAGGGTGATCATCATAAATATCAACAACCCTCATTGTTGTCTTGAAAGGAATTAATGTCAGAAATTCCTATTTCACTGAAAAATCACTGAAAATCATTCTGATGAAACCATGAGCTGTACTACTAAAATCTACAGACTCGTCACATTGGATGGAGAACAATTTGCACAATGTCTTGCTCCAGCTGCTCTGTTACATTAGCTGACATTTCTATGATCCGTCTTGCAATTGTGTTAGCTCCAAGTTGAACATCAGAGAGTGCAGACATTATTTAATTTCCATTCTTGTGATCTTTAAACGGAGTGTTTGCGATCACAGTCATTGCTCTCTTGACAATGTCACCATCTGAGAATTATTTTTTGTGTGTGTTTCTAAAAGAAATATGAGCAACTCTAAATGAAGCTTTGGTTGCAGCCTGTGACTTTTTAGTAGGTCTGGTAAAAAAATTATTTTTGTCAGCTTAATGGTGCTTTCAACTAACTTTTCTTTTCTCAGTGAAGTACCTGGTGCATAAAGGTCTTGTAGGTTGTGGTGAAATTGCTACTGCTATACTAGCTCCTCAGATAAGACATACAGATTTATCTTTCATCAAAGCTGTTTTCTTTTTCCCACCAACGCCTCAACTCACAGAACTCACAGCTTATGTAACGTATGTCAATGTACATTGATATATGCAAACTTCTAAATATTGAAAATTATTAAATGATTTTAATGATTTAATGTTATATGAAATGTTACCAAAGTTATTTTTCCTACCTTATGTAGTTATCCTGAAAAAAAATTACTTCTAGAATGTGTTTGACCAGGTGTTGGTAGCCCGCATGGAGGAGACCACGCCATGTTGGAGACCACTGATGTAATGAATTATGAAAAAGATGCAGATTTTGTTTTCTTGAAACTGCTAACTGTTAGTGACGTAGGAACAACATTTAAAGTGTTAGTCTTCCTCTGCAGGATATTGGTTGGGGCTCCTCAGTCCCGGGGCACAGGAACTTTGTGGAGCAGCCGTCCCGGTGCACTGTATCGCTGTCCGGTTACCCCGGAGAAGTGTGAACGAGTGGACATCGATGGGCATGGTAACACTTATTAAGACCATTTTAGCTCATTTTTATGTGATGAACTAAAGTGTTTGCTCTGCTAAACTGTATCCATTCAAGGACAAATGTTTCTCGTTTTCTCAAGTGAATCTGGAACGAGAGAGCAAAGACAACCAGTGGTTGGGTGTCACAGTCAAAAGTCAAGGAATTGGTGGAAAAGTAGTGGTAAGTATGTTTTATACCTGTGACAGGTAGATCAGACAGATCTAATGTGCCATGTATACAGTAAATAACATCATGCACAAAGTTCAGAAAGGTCAGTCAGCCCTGCTCCAAGAGGGCTACCTTCCTGCAGACTTCAGTTCCAATCCTGCTCCAGCACTCATGTTAGTTTTTTTTTCAAATCATCCTCAACACCTTGATAAGCTGGTTCAAGTGTTTTTGTTTAGAATAATTGTAAAGCGGCATACTTCACCTGCCACATCATGAAGTGCTGTCAAAGGCCACCTCAATATGGAGGATCCTTGGATCCTTCACAAAAGAAAGCCTTCTTTTCAAGTTCTTCTTTCAACATTTTTAAAAGGATGCATCAAATGCATCCTTTGTGTCCTTGAAACACCCACAATCATCAGCACTGAGCACGCTCGAGATCAGGTCCAGCCCAGCAAACGTAGTGACCCTCATTGCATTCTCCATCATGAGTGCTGTGCGTATTCACGCATCCCGATAGGGAATGAACATAGATTTAAGCAAAGATATATTTAAGTGCTCCTTCAGTAATGGAATTCAATGCAACTAAAGTATCTCATCCATCACTGCTTTCTTACAATGTGGACTTTCAATCCTAAAGTTTCAATTTTTAAATCAAAGCACAATTATGGAGAATGGGGACTAGGTCATTGTGGCATGTGCACTACATGATCCTGTTTGTGTTGTGATGTCAGACATGCGCTCACCTCTATGAGCTCAGACAACACGTCAACCAAACCTTTGAGACTCGTGACCCGATCGGACGCTGTTATGTGCTGAGTGAAGATTTGACCGAGAGAGATGATCTGGATGGAGGAGAGTGGAAGTTTTGTGAAGGTCGTTCTCAAGGACATGAGCAGTTTGGATTCTGCCAGCAGGGCCTGTCAGCTAGTTTCACACCTGACAAAAACTACATCCTCTTTGGGGCTCCGGGGACCTACAACTGGAAAGGTAATGAGATATGCTTTTGATGAGTTGATGTTTTTTCCCTCTAAATCATCCTTTTCTCATCTAAACTCATCTCAGGGCTGTTATTTATGGCCAATCCCGTTGAGGATGCTCTGGTCTACAAAACACTGGAACCATCCAAAAGCTCATTTGAGGACGTCGCTCAGAACAGTTACCTGGGTTTGTAGACAAAAAACATTGACATATTGATATTTCAATAGTTTGTTTTTGTTTTGCAAATTCCATTACACTGGTATTGGCTACTGATGTTGTGGTACCCTGACAACACTAATAAACTCATATACCATAATCACTGACAAATAGGCAAGATCATATGAAATCTATCAAACCAGGTACAAAATCGTCTATTTGTTTTCATTTGTGAATCTGTCCCTTCTCATCACAGGTTTCTCTGTGGATTCAGCCAGAGGTATTATGAGTAAATCTGAGCTGACGTTTGTTGCTGGAGCTCCTCGAGCCAAACACACAGGAGCCGTGGTTCTGCTACGGAAGGACAATGTCTACCGGCTGATGCCTGATCACATTCTGTGGGGTGAGGAACTGGCCTCCTCCTTCGGTTATTCTGTGGCCGTAGCTGATCTGAACAGTGATGGGTAAGACACTTTACATGTCCATGTGTAAAGCCATGAATCTGATGTGCTTAATATCTAACAGGATGATTTCACCTACAGTTGGACAGATCTTGTAGTGGGAGCTCCGAATTTCTTTGACCGAAAGGCAGAGATTGGAGGTGCTGTGTATGTGTACCTGAACCCAGCCAGCCACTGGGAAAAGGCACGACCGATCCGGCTCAATGGAACATACGACTCTATGTTTGGGATGACTGTCAGTAGTGCTGGAGATCTGGACCAGGATGGTTATGAAGGTAAGAATGAAATCACACGTACATGCAAGTGTGTTTATACACTTTAGTTCATGGTATCTCAGAAAAACAGATTAGATTGGATTCTGGATTTGGTTCTTTGTAAAAAAAAAAATAATTCAATGGAATATTGTATTACTGTTACAGTACAGAAGTGAGTACAACCCCGTGTAATATCACAATACTTAAAGTTATTCTAATACGTTCTACTTTGAGCCTACTTGTAAAGTGACATACAGAGCAATCTCATCCTCATCTCTTTGATCTCGAATTCAAATATCACATCATACAAATGTTACTGTTACAGAGCTGACGAGACGAGAGGCGTGCGGATCCATGTGCAAGCTTTTATTAATAAACATAGTCAAAATCACAGGCAGGGTCGTACAACAACAAACAGGTATGGCACAGGCAAGACAAAAGAGCAATCCTAAACGGGCTTGAGTCAGACGACAGCAAACGTAATCCAGAGGGCTTGACAAGAGGGGTAATCCGTAAACGTGAGCATAAGACCAGGCGAGGAGCAAACACAGTCCGAAACAGCAAGCAAAGGGTTAATCCAAGATACGTGGCAAGAATCAGGAACCAGGAAAACAGGCAAGGCAAGACTATGACTAGTCAATGAAAACTAGAACAGGCTCCGTAAAGTAGCTATCAGCTAGCACAGTGATAAACGCTAAACAATACTCGGCGCTCTGGAAGAGGAAGAACAAGGCTTATAAAGCGTGTATGATAGGGTTAATTTGTGTGTGTGTAATCAGTGCACTCAGCTGTGTAGTGTGAAAGTCCATGTGGTGGGCTAGTGACCTCTGGTGGTGAGTGAACAGAAGTTCATAGACAGGATTTGTGACAGTTACACTCATTATATTATAAAAATACATATGTAATAGTTACATCATTGCCCATATAAGGCCTTTCCTTTAAATAAACAAAGCAGAATAATCAAGTATTGTACTTAATATATGCTCTTTTCTGGAGGGGTTGTGTTATTCAGTCTTTCTCTTTAAAATACCCTTTAAAAAACGGTGATCATTGGATTTCAGTCAGGTGACATACCTGGCCGGGTCATAGTTTTCACTTTTTCCTTCTTTAGATAATCATGTGTGATTTTGGCAGTGTGCTTTGGATCATTATCTTGCTGGAATATTCCTCATCTGCAGACTGGAAGTCATCCTAGCAGGTTTTTTGGTACATCAACTGGCATTTATAGTGTCATCTACAAATGTCATCTCCTAAGACTCAACACTCATGTATCCCTGACCAGGTTAATGCCAAACATCTGAAATGAACAAATTTATCATGGACTCATCTGACCAAAGAATGTGCTCCCAAATATTCACCTGGGCTTCTTTTCATGTTCTTAAGCTAAGGTTATTCTTGTAGTTTTGTACTGAAGAGCAAACAAGAGGTTGCATATTATACAATGTCTACCTGAATTGTCACAGAAACTCCACTGATTTCCACTGATGACCCCTGTGCCAAATTTTTTTAAACTAGATTGTGCAAGTAGCGCACTTTTCGTGGTGTTATTTTAGGAGGATGGCCATTATCGCTCTGATTAGTGGTGCTCTGGCTCATTCTATACCTCCTGATTCCTGCAGCAACCACTGTTTTTAGTTGATCAATGATCTTCCTGTATGCTTTTCCATCTTTGTGAAGTCTCGCAGTCAGATTTTTCAATTGCTCTGTCAATTCTTCTCCATGTGGAATCATGATGCAGACATTCAGATAAGACACAGCTCATAGGTCTATCACTGAGAAAGTTCAGGTGTTCATAGGTTGCTGTACAGTCATGTATGTGCATTGAAAATCGCAGTGTTATCAGTTTTGTTTGCATGATGTTGGTGAAGCATGATGCATGTTGAAGTTGTTTTCACTTTTATAGTGAAAACGCTATTTTCTACTTTGGGACCTGCATATGTGCTTGTCCATAAGAGAAAATACTCTACTTGCCAAATTAGAGATAATCCAATTGCAGAATTGAAACAATTTTTAATCATTTGATATTTTTTATTTTATTGTGTTTTTGTTTTCAGACATTGCTGTTGGAGCCCCATTTGATGGAGATGGGAAAGTTTTTATTTACCGTGGCTCTTCATCTGGCATTGATACCAAACCCTCTCAGGCAAACCTTCTCTCTCTCAGACACACACACACACACACACACACACACACACATGTCTGGTTTGCTATCCTTGTGGGGACTCTCCATAGGCGTAATGGTTTTTATACTGTACAGACCGTATATTCTATTGCCCTACACCAACCCTACCCCTAAACCTTCCCCTTACAGGAAACTTTCTGCATTTTTAGATTTTCAAAAAACGTTATTCTGTGTGATTTATTAGCTTGTTTACCCGTGGGGACCTCAATTTAGGTCCCCACAGTGACATGAGTCCCCATGCGGCTGTGTGTATTCAGGTTTAAGTCCCCACCAGAATAGAAAAATAGGTACACACATACACACACACACACACACACACACACACATACTTGCATATGTGGTTTACGGGGACTCTCCATAGGCGTAATGGTTTTTATACTGTACAAACTGTATTTTCTATCGCCCTACATCTAAACCTACCCCTTACAGGAATCTACTGCCAATTTTTGAATTTTTAAGCCTTTTGTTTTACGGGGACACAGGAAGTGTCCTCATAAACCATGTTTACATTGTAGTACCCATGTCATTCATTATACACATTTGTGTCCTCATAAACCATATATACCAGTACACACACACACACACACACACACTCACTCACTCACTCACTCAAGATGGTTATTTATATCTTTTGCTTTAGTGTGTCAGTTGGATATATACGGTGATTTTTAGATTTGCATTTGAGTTTGTAATTTGTTATTTTGTTTTCAGAATTGTGATTTGTTTTGCACTTCTCGGCCACCATAGAAATACCAATTTTCCACTTCCAAATATTAATTTAGCAAATCTTGTAACTATCCAGTGAGGTTTTTTGTAGGGGTGTCAGTTTACCATGTCAATTTAACATGAATACTTATATAAAAATAGTATACATACTGTTAGTAAATTAACAATCGGTCCCTTTTTAGATTCTCTTTGCCACCTGGAAAATTCTCAGTCCCTCAAAGTGTATAACGGCCGGGAAGCAAGAAAACACACATCAAATTGTATTCTCAATACTTCAACTTTATTCATAGATACAAAGATATTATATAGGCATATGTCGAGGGGAGTTTCAACCCTTTAACCAATGAGGATATAGATGACATACATATAGGATGTTGGCCAAGAATATGTGTCATACAAAATGGCCACATGTACAGGAAAATATGGACATATTAGGAATAGACTTGGCGAAGGATGCTGAACTATCTCCATAGTTCATCACGAACCCCATTACCTTAGAGTCCTAGCTATCATGTCCTCATTTGAACATTTGAACCCAGAAAAGCTAATGCATACATCTGCGCATGCGTACCTCGAATATGAGTAAGAGATATTAAAACATAATACAAGAGAGAGAGAGAACAGATGGAGGAGGGGGGAATCAAGAGAAAACAACAGTGCGCTGTACAGGGAGGGCGAGTGAGAGAGGGAAGAAAAGGAGGGTGAAAACATCTGGAACCAATAAAAAGACAGAGTGTTTTCTAACACATACATAAATAAGTAAATAAATAAATACTTTTGACATGTGATCTGTTTTTCTGTTCAGTACAGCTAAATGGAGTGCAACAGAAACACACTTTAAGACACTAAGATACTCTTTAAAGGAATGAATGGACCCTTTCACAAACGGTGTTGATGCATTTCCTTTGTTATTAACATTGTACATCTAGCACATTTTTATTGTGATTTTCTTTTCACATTTTACATTTATAACACTTAATTTTGTGTTTTTGTGCCTTGGCATTAAATTGCATTAAACTAGTTTTAGTATTTCTAATAGCCGAAGGAGTGTCAGCAAATTTAGCATCTTTCTTCTGACCAGTGTAATCAATCTCTCAATATTTTTTTCCTATTTTGAAAAGTCATAGAAACGCTATCATGGATTTTTTTTCTCCCCGCTTTGCTACTGGGGCAAATAATAATGCAAAAAACATATTTGTTGTAGTTTCCATTCAGCACTATAGAAGTTTACCTGACTATGGCAACTTCCGCTTCAGAGAAGCCCGAAAATGTGAAAAGGGTTCATTGTTTGTAATTTGATATGCCATCTTAACACTGATATGTGGCACAACAGCCAAAAATGTCAGTCTGCATGTGCACATACACCAGAAATAGAAAAAAGTAATGCGCTCACAGACAGATACAACAGCCAATCCTAGCTGAATGTGCGCTGGCCGAGAGAGCTCAACCAAACTCAACCAAATAAAGAAACTGGCTGAAAATAAAATTCTTTTGTGAGCATTTGCAGCACCTGCTGTCAAACTGATGAAGATGTTTTCAGAATTTGCAGGTGTTTTTTCTATTTGCATGTGTTTTCTGAAGTTGCAGCACATTGAGCTCTCTCGGCCACCGTATGAATGACCTAAATTTATAAATCCTAAATTTACTTCAGACCAATTGCAAAGTGGAACACTGTGGGTTAGTGATAGGCTTATGTTCAGGGGTAAAAACCTGCAATATATTGACTTATAGAGGCACTTTTTGTATTCAAAGATTTAATCATGTGCTACAATAATGCCTTTGGATGATCTTTAAATACTTAATCATAACATTTAATTAATTCAATTACAATTTTGGAATAATATACGTACAACACCTTTTATAAGCAAAAGATCATTTTACAAAATATGTGACCCTGGAGCACAAAACCAGTCATAAGTCACACGGGTATATTTGTAGCAATGGCAAACAATACATTGTATGGGTATGTAGTATATTTTTCTTTTATGCCAAAAATCATTAGGATATTAAGTAAAGATATTTTGTATATATATTTGATATTTTCATACCATAAATATATCAAAACTTAATTTTTGATTAGTAATATGCATTGCTAAGAACTTCATTTGGACAACTTTAAAGATGATTTTCTCAATATTTAGATTTTTTTTGCACCCTCAGATTCCAGATTTTCAAATAGTTGTATCTCAGCCAAATATTGTCCTAATTTTGAAACATTTGTAGCGACAAGATGTGCTGATAAATCCACTAATGCGTGGATCAAGCCAATCAGATAACAGCCACACTTCGCTGACCAATTGTTGACCACTTTCTCGCTATAGCCAATCACGTTTTGCTTTACATTCAAGGTGGGAGCAGATTCATTTATTCGCACCCCTGTAAGGAACTGCTATCTATGGACAATTCGTACAATTGAGCTGAAGAGCTGTTTGTGTGGCTAAAAACATACTGTTTGACTTCTTAATATTTCCATCAGGATCAGTGAATGAGGATAAACTCAGGATTATACACAACTTATGATCATTCACAGATCCTGATGATTAGTAACACCCTTGCGATATTTTCAAATATAAATCATTATAATCAGCGATACTGTCTGTGACGAGAGGGGCGGGGCCGAGAGCCGTGGGAACGGAGCGAGGCCGGTGGAGTAAATGCTAATGCACGACACCTGCGCCACTCACCGGTCTCGAGTCCCACGGAGGAGCTCTGGAAGGATAAAAAGAGGAGTGACGACCGTGTTGGACGAGAGACGACCAGGCTGGATGAGAGACGACCAGGCCTTGTCCTCTCTCCTCCAACACTGTCGTCACTCCTCCTTTTATCCTTCCGGAGCTCCTCCGTGGGACTCGAGACCGGAAGGATAAAAGGAGGAGTGACGACAGTGTTGGAGGAGTGAGGACAAGGCCTGGTCGTCTCTCAATCATAATCTATTCATTTGGAATAATGCAACAAAAATATCTCCATATCTGTGCGCTATTCTGAAAATATTTTTGATTTCTTGGTCACACAAGAAATAAGGGCAACCTAATTGATGTACTGAATTAATGCCATTCAGCAAGGAGTGCCATCACAGCATTTTGAATTTATTTGTCAAGGTTCTGGATGGGCTTAATGCAGGAGTCAAGCAGCTGGGCTATTCCATATCTGGAGGGCTAGATGTTGATGGGAATTTTTATCCAGATCTAGCTATTGGCTCTCTCAGCGATCAGGTTGTGCTTTATAGGTGAGATATGAACTGCCTGTATATGTGTTTGACATGAGCTGTGAATTGAAAGCATGTGTCCCGTAACAAAGATGTCAACTGAATGTTTAAAGATCTTTTGTGACTCTTTGATCGTTTGTCCATTAGGTCATGTCCAGTGGTCCACGTGATCCGAGACATTTCCATTGAGCCTCAGTATATTGATCTGACACAGCACAGCTGCCAGGGCCAAGATGGTGTTTGGTCAGAAGTTACTTTTTATTGATTGCACTATATATTTGTTTTTCTTAAGGCTATGCAATTAGATGAGTACTGAACAATACCTGTAATTATGTTACTACATAGCTCTTATTGTGTCTTCACATCGTGTCTATGACATCTTGTTTGGAAACTTTATTACATGTTTTAACAGCACTTGTAACACGCGTGTTGTCTTTATCTAGTGTGGATGTGAAGGCCTGCTACACGTACACTGCTTATCCAGACTCCTACTCACCACATATCAGTAAGATAAACCACATCTACCATCACAACATACAGCATAAGTGCAGACATACACATATGTTTGAATGTTTGTGTTACTCTCCCACATCAGCACTTGGTGTACATTTTGAGGCAGACATAGAGCGCAGGAAGTTGAGTCTTCCTCACAGAGTTCAGTTCCTGGGCCGCAGTTTATCAGAGCCAGAGTACGTTCATTCTGTGGAAGTGGAGCTACATGGACAAAAACATCCTGACTGCCAAACAGTGACTTTTGTTGTACAGGTAGAACATTCATTCATTCATTCATTCATTCATGCATTCATTCATTCATTCATGCATTCATGCATTCATGCATGCTAGCATTTACTCCACCGGCCTCGCTCCATTCCCACGGCTCTCGGCCCTGCCCCCACTCGTCACACTGTCAACACTGGACAAGGCGCGACATGATGAAGTGCAAATGATTCACACTTTTGCTTTAATGCATCCAGGTGCAGCTGTAAACATGACACAATGGCCTATTTTGCCTTTTAAAGCACAATTGCGGTGACAAAAATAGGGCATATTGACACATATAATATCAAATATGGGCCCAAATGACCACATGGGTGCAGTAATAAAAATAAACTTTTTTTTTGGATGCTGTAACATAAATTTGACTTTAAAACTAGTAAGTCTGATTTAAATGAAATATTGTTTGTGTGTTCAAGTGTTTTAACCAATGAATATAATTTATTCATTGATATTTTTTATGGCCCTTTGTTACGGCCTGTTCGTTTAAAGCCGCAACATAAAATAGGAATCAAACAACATTTACATTTAGTCATGCATGCACACATTCATACATTCATGCATGCATTCATTCATGCATTCATTCACGCATGCATGCATGCATGCATTCATGCATTCATTCATTCATGCATTAATTCATTAATTCATACATGCATGCATGCATTCATTCATTCATTCATTCATTCATTCATGCATGCATTCATTCATGCATTCATTCATTCATGCATGCATGCATGCATTCATGCATTCATTCATTCATGCATTCATTCATTAATTCATACATGCATGCATGCATTCATTCATTCATTCATTCATGCATGCATGCATGCATGCATTCATGCATTCATTCATTCATGCATGCATTCATTCATTCATTAGTGTTTTAACCAATGAATATAATTTATTCATTGATATTTTTTATGGCCCTTTGTTACGGCCTGTTCGTTTAAAGCCGCAACATAAAATAGGAATCAAACAACATTTACATTTAGATTTACATTTAATCATTTAGCAGACGCTTTTATCCAAAGCGACTTACAAATGAGAACAATAGAAGCAATCAGACCAACGAGAGAACAACAGTATACAAGTGCCATGACAAGTCTTAGTTAGTCTAGCACAGTACACGTAGCTAGGTTTTATTTTATTTTTATTATTATTATTAAATAATAGAATAGAATAGAATGAATCTATACAAATTGTTTTATTGAATTACACTAATACAACAACCGTCAGTAATGATAATAAACACAAGTCTATGGATAATAAAAATAACAAATATAACCACAACAAAAACTACATGATATAAGAAATGCAAAATGTGAAAGAGTCAGCAAGGTCTTAGATACTGAGCAAGAGCCACTGAGGGAAACTATCCCACAGACTGTGCCTATCCCATTTAACACACACCACTCCTATATACTCTAATTATCAATTAACATGGGGGAAGACCAATCAAAAGATTCAGGGTCGCAACACCCTTATATTTGAAATGTGGCTGTTATCTGATTGGCTTGAGTAGACGGTGGGTGGAGTCATGCATTTGTGGCTTTGTCAGCACGTCTTTTCACTAGAAATGTTTCAAAATCCACAAATGTTTGCAGCGATACACAAATGCACAGAAAGCCATTCACAAATGTACAGGACATGATCCATGAATACGTGCATAAGATATTTATGAATATGTATTTTTATTTGCAAATATTCATTCATGCATGCATTCATTCATGCATTCATTCATTCATGCATGCATTCATTCATGCATTCATTCATTCATGCATGCATTCATTCATTCATGCATTCATTCATGCATGCAGTGATGTCAGATCACAAGTGGTCACAGAAGATGCATTTGAGATGCATGTTAATATTAGGTGAAATGGGAAGGGACTCTTCTGTTCTCCTTTCACTAGGAAAACATTCAGGACAAGCTGCGGCCCGTCTCTCTGGCTATCACACACACTATACGGAGAAGCAGGCATCACCACCAAATGGGGCATAAACACCATAACCAGCTGAGCCCTGTACTAAGCCTCAGTCCCTCAAACACACTCTACTCTGAGGTAAAACACATGTCGTTTCTGTACTCTCCTTTTTTAATTTGGTTGTGATTGGTCAACCGCTGCATTCCGTTTTCGGATGTTTGTGTATAATGACTAGATTACGATTATGGCTGTTGTGACAAATTATGAGCTTTATATTTCGATCTAGTGCCTTTGGATGAATGTTTTCTACTTGCATACAGTCTCAGTGATACTAACAATGTATTCCACACGTGTCATGTTTTACGTCTGCTCCACTTTTACCTTACATGTTCACTGGTGCTCAACACACACTTAGTATTGATATTAGTATTCCCATTATATTTGTGTGGACATCAGTGAGCTCAATCTGAAGTGGAGCAAGCAACAGTCATTACGGGTGTTGTGGTATTGTCATACTGGTCCTGGTATAGGCTACATGATGAATATGAAGTGGTTCACACAAAGTGTTTTATAGTATCCAATAATTTCATAATCTACACTAATGATTGCGATTCCAGTTACCATTTTGCAATAGTCATGTGACCTTAAATCTTCACATAAAGTATTTTCACACAATGTTGCATTGCATATTGCAATATTACCCTCAAAATTGATATTGCATGCCCGTGTATTAATTGGTAAGTAGTCAGATATCCACTTCATGTTTATTTTGTGAAAAGGACTAGCTGTCTGTACATTATATTTTATGTAACATTCATGGAATGGTAATTCCAGTTTCCCATCAGGAACTCAAAAACAGTATCACAACAGTAAAAATGAATGTGCAATGCTTAGTGCAAGCTTTCTGTCTACTTCTCAGGTCAATTTTGTCAGAGAAGGGTGTGGTGAGGATAAAATATGCCAGAGCAACCTTCAACTCTCCTATCAGTTTGGCACAAAAGCACCCATTTCAAATGCCTTTATTCCTCTGCCACGGTAAGTGCTTATACACATATGTTCTGTCTCAGTCACTGCATGCTTAGAGTGTGAGCAGACCACGTCTACAGACAGTGCTGACATTCAGAGTCTTAATCTGACTCTGACACCTCACATATGTCCATACAAGGGTTTAGTATTAATAACTATACTCATCAGTCAGGAGGCCTTCATTATTTTAATTACTTCCACACGCTTTGCGTTTAGAGACGAGTCTGATGTGCCAGTGTTCTCTCTGTCGGATCAGAGGTCAGTAGTGCTGGAGGTCACGGTGACTAACATGCCATCTGACCCGGAAAACCCACAGGAAGATGGAGATGATGCCCATGCCACCCAGCTACTGGTGTCTCTGCCCAACACGCTTTCATACTCTGGACTCATGGGGCAGCAGGTCTATTTGTGTCTCAGTGACAGCCAACAGTCTTTCTTTTCTCAATCATATTTCTCATTGTTTCGTAATACTGACTGCGTTGTGTGTTCTTGTCTTGAAGGTATTGTGTGAAGTTAATCAGAACGGCTCTCAGGCGCTGTGTGAACTGGGCAATCCGCTGAAAAGAGAAGCGACGGTATAGTAACGGTCACACGTGCACACTTACACTATTCTGACCTTCAAGAAACTGAGTCTGACTATTAATTCTTTATGTCAGGTCAAATTTTATCTTGTTCTGAGCACTTCTGGGATCACTATAGAAACAACGTCACTGTCCGTTCATCTTGCACTGTCTACGTGAGTTCAGCCTTTTCAGTTCTGTTTTCTGCCTGCCATTTGAAAATGTTTCTTTTGTGAGCAAAACAAAATCACACAAATGATGTGAAATGAATATGTGTAAATCACGCACAGGATAAGTGAGCAGCCTGCTTTGGTCCCCGTCACGGCGTATGCGCGAATGGTGATCGAGCTTCCTCTGGTGCTTAGCGGGTAGCTGTTCACTTCCTGTCTCTGATTTGTGATGTTTACACATGTTTTCTGAAATAACAGCTTGTTTTCTCATGACTGCTGCTCTCACTTCAGTTCATTTCAAAATTGTCTGTAAATAGATCTATTAATTCATTTTGAATATCTTAAATGTTCTTTAAATGTGTCGACTGGGGTTTATAAGTTGTCTTGGTCTCCTGCAGACTGGCTCGCCCCCATCAGCTGTTCTTCAGCGGAGCAGTGAGGGGAGAGAGCGCTATGACATCACTGCAGGACGTTGGCAGCGCAGTGGACTACGAATTCATTGTAAGTTCATGTATGCAGAAGAATATTGTATTGCTCAGAAGATCCTGCATCACATCTCAAGTGCTGCACTACAGATTGTCTTTCTTTGTTAAATTCCTTGTTCAGTCATTCTGACATGAAATTAGCCAATATGGTGGAGCTCATAATCCTAATTTGGTGGTTTTTACCAACTCTTTTTAATAATAATAATGCATTTTATTTAACGGCGCCTTTCAAAACACCCAAGGTCACCTCACAAGCAAGCAAAGATAAAAATAAATACAAATCATTACACAATAAAAAACACACAACAAACACTCCACATATACAGATAAAGTGCAGTAAAGACTCAATAAAACATTATAAGAAAGCCTGTATAAAAAGATATGTCTTAAGACGCGTTTTAAAAGTCAGCAGGCAATCGCTGTTGCGAATATCAGGTGGAAGTGAGTTCCATAGGCAGGGGGCAGCATAGCTAAAAGATCTGGCACCCATGGTAGTTAGTCGAATTCGAGGTACCACAAGAGAAATTAAAGATGAGGATCTGAGAGCACGTGAAGGAGTGTAAACATAAAGAAGTTGAGTAAGGTATTGGGGTGCAAGATTATGAAGTGCCTTGTAAGTAAGTAGCAAGATCTTGAATTCAACTCGATACTTTACTGGAAGCCAGTGCAATTGCTGAAGAACTGGAGAAATGTGCTCAGTAGAGGGTGTTCTAGAAAGAACACGAGCTGCAGAATTCTGGACCAACTGGAGCTTACGTAGCAATTTAGAGGGAACACCAGTGAGAAGGGCATTGCAGTAGTCTATACGTGAGGTGACTAGTGCGTGAACAAGAACTGCTGTATTAGTGGTTGAGAGAAAAGGACGGAGATGGTTAATATTACGCAAGTGGAAATATGCAGTCCATGTGATATTATTAATTTGAGTTTCAAAAGACAGTGTGCTATCCATGATAACACCCAAACTTTTAACCTGAGAGGAAGGATAGATTGCATTATTGTCAATGTACAAGGAAAAACTATTAGATTTAGACAAAACAGATCTAGTGCCAGCAAGTAGGGCCTCAGTTTTGTTCCAATTTAACTTCAGGAAGTTAGCTGAAAGCCAATCTTTGATTTCAGCTAAACAGCTGGACAAAGATGGTGGAGGAAAAGAACCAGTGGGTTTGGCAGACAGGTAAAGTTGATAACAATAACAATAACAATGAAAATGAATACCATGTTTCCTCAAAATATAACCAAGAGGGAGTATATAAATAATGAAAAGAAGCGGGCCCAAAACAGAACCCTGGGGAACACCAGTGGTGACTGTAGATGTTCTAGATCTGAAACTTTTTAATTGAATACGCTGAGTGCGCCCCATTGCTGATTGCTGACTCCAATTATCTTAGAATAATAATCAGATTTAGTTTTGGACAGTGCATTTTTGTAGTTTTGAATATGTTCAGCATACATTTCTTTATGAACAGTAAGGCCAGACCTGATGAACAAATGCTCTAACCTACGGCCTTTAGTTTTAAGTTCACGCAGGTCAGGTGTAAACCAACGAGCTGAATGTACAAATGAAACAGTTCGAGCTTTCACAGGTGCAAAATCATCTAAAATCATGTTCAGTCCATCATTGTAATATGAAACCAGTTCATCAAAAGTAGAGAAATCAGATTTACTAGAAGAGCTGGCAAGTTCAACAGCAAGGGTTGGCACATCAATGTTCTTAATATTCCGAAATGTGATTAGATGACATGGATTTACCTTAAAAACTGCCAGTTGGGCACAAAAAGACACCAACAGGTGATCTGATATGGACAGATAAGAAACAGTACAATTATAAGGTGTTATACCAGAACAGCAAACAAGATCAAGAGTATGCCCCTTAGAATGAGTGGGCAGTGTGTTAAATTGCTGCACACCAAAGCAATCCAAGCATGATACAAATTCACTTGTAAATGCATTACTGACATTATCTATATGAATGTTAAAATCACCCAGCATAATAACATTTGGAGACATGGAACATAGATAAGTCAAGAGTTCAGAAAGTTCAGTTAAAAAGGCATTATTGCTCTTGGGAGGGCGGTAAATAGTTGTGAGGATGGTAGGAATCACCCCATTAACTTTTAAGGCAACTGATTTAGATGAAGAATATGCAGGCAAAGTTAACTCAGATACTTTCAATTTCTCTTTATAAAGTATCGCTAGCCCCCCTCCCCGTCCCGTAACACAGGATTTACAAACATAACCATATCCTGGGGGAACAGACTGGTTTAGATGAAAAAAGTCAGCTGGTTTCTGCCACGTCTCAGTTAAACAGAGAAAGTCAAACTTACGGTCAGACAACAGATCATACACCAGAGGTCTTTTAGTGGAAAGTGACCGTACATTTAGTAATCCACCAGTGAGAAGGGCATTGCAGTAGTCTATACGTGAGGTGACTAGTGCGTGAACAAGAACTGCTGTATTATTGGTTGAGAGAAAAGGACGGAGATGGTTAATATTACGCAAGTGGAAATATGCAGTCCATGTGATATTATTAATTTGAGTTTCAAAAGACAGTGTGCTATCCATGATAACACCCAAACTTTTAACCTGAGAGGAAGGATAGATTGCATTATTGTCAATGTACAAGGAAAAACTATTAGATTTAGACAAAACAGATCTAGTGCCAGCAAGTAGGGCCTCAGTTTTGTTCCAATTTAACTTCAGGAAGTTAGCTGAAAGCCAATCTTTGATTTCAGCTAAACAGCTGGACAAAGATGGTGGAGGAAAAGAACCAGTGGGTTTGGCAGACAGGTAAAGTTGATAACAATAACAATAACAATGAAAATGAATACCATGTTTCCTCAAAATATAACCAAGAGGGAGTATATAAATAATGAAAAGAAGCGGGCCCAAAACAGAACCCTGGGGAACACCAGTGGTGACTGTAGATGTTCTAGATCTGAAACTTTTTAATTGAATACGCTGAGTGCGCCCCATTGCTGATTGCTGACTCCAATTATCTTAGAATAATAATCAGATTTAGTTTTGGACAGTGCATTTTTGTAGTTTTGAATATGTTCAGCATACATTTCTTTATGAACAGTAAGGCCAGACCTGATGAACAAATGCTCTAACCTACGGCCTTTAGTTTTAAGTTCACGCAGGTCAGGTGTAAACCAACGAGCTGAATGTACAAATGAAACAGTTCGAGCTTTCACAGGTGCAAAATCATCTAAAATCATGTTCAGTCCATCATTGTAATATGAAACCAGTTCATCAAAAGTAGAGAAATCAGATTTACTAGAAGAGCTGGCAAGTTCAACAGCAAGGGTTGGCACATCAATGTTCTTAATATTCCGAAATGTGATTAGATGACATGGATTTACCTTAAAAACTGCCAGTTGGGCACAAAAAGACACCAACAGGTGATCTGATATGGACAGATAAGAAACAGTACAATTATAAGGTGTTATACCAGAACAGCAAACAAGATCAAGAGTATGCCCCTTAGAATGAGTGGGCAGTGTGTTAAATTGCTGCACACCAAAGCAATCCAAGCATGATACAAATTCACTTGTAAATGCATTACTGACATTATCTATATGAATGTTAAAATCACCCAGCATAATAACATTTGGAGACATGGAACATAGATAAGTCAAGAGTTCAGAAAGTTCAGTTAAAAAGGCATTATTGCTCTTGGGAGGGCGGTAAATAGTTGTGAGGATGGTAGGAATCACCCCATTAACTTTTAAGGCAACTGATTTAGATGAAGAATATGCAGGCAAAGTTAACTCAGATACTTTCAATTTCTCTTTATAAAGTATCGCTAGCCCCCCTCCCCGTCCCGTAACACAGGATTTACAAACATAACCATATCCTGGGGGAACAGACTGGTTTAGATGAAAAAAGTCAGCTGGTTTCTGCCACGTCTCAGTTAAACAGAGAAAGTCAAACTTACGGTCAGACAACAGATCATACACCAGAGGTCTTTTAGTGGAAAGTGACCGTACATTTAGTAATCCAAAGGAGAGATTGTTTTTACCAGAATCGTTGCCAACTGATCTGGCCAGGTTGGTTAATACTCCGTGATCAACAGTCCATGTGAGCCTCCTCGCCGTGCGTGGTTTAGATGACCAGAAAGACCGTATTTGACATGAGCCATCGATGTTATAACTTCGCCGAGACCC